CAACACCCCCCCCCCCAAGTGGATCGGCGTCTTCTCAAGAGGAGTATTAGGTGTGGGGGGGGAATCAGCCATCCCCAAAGGGCTGGGCAGCCCATCTGCTTCAGACACTACCTGAAAGTCAGCTGATGGAGGAAGATACGCTGTCTCCAGAGGTTTCAAACCACACACAAACCGATCATGGAAGTTTGAAAGAGATTTATTTAAAAACAGAACAAAAAAAAAAGCTTTGGTATTTCAAAACCCAACAATCATCAACCCCTAGAAAGTTAAATACCTCCCCCTAAAGCCCAGAAGTACAAAAGCACAGATCTCCACAGGCTCATGGTAAGAAAGAGACGACGTGCAAACCGGGGAGGACCCGAGACCCACGCTCTCCACGCAGGCGCAGGTGCAGGCGGCAGGGCCTCCGGATGCCCCCCCCCGGGGGCGGCGTAGGTCGGAAATCCCCGCCCGAGATTCACTGTCTGAAGGGGGTGCAAAAACCATCCGGCAAAATCTCAACAACAATAAATTAAAAATTCAGTCAAGAAAGAACACATTAAATTAGGAATAGAACACAACTTTTCCTAGACAGGGCTTTTCAAAAGAGGCTCTGTTTCCTGGGGCAGGAGAAGGGGGGAAAGCAGGAGTGAGTTCGATTTCAAGTATTTTCCATACAGGTTCATTTTATTGAGTCGAAAGCTTACAAAAAGTCCACCGGCCCTCCCCTCCCGCTCCCCGATGCAGACTCCTGAACATCCACACGCACTCTGCGTCACTGGCGTCCCCAACAAAGGCACAAAAGGGTGGGTGCGTTCGAAGGATCCCCTGTTCGTGCAGCAGGACTTTCGGTGCTGGGTGTCTTGTGCAGATGGGACTTCACTCAGACACTGGGATCTTCCTGTTCAATTAACAAAACAAGCTGTTATTGTTCACCACCAACCCCGTGGAAGCTACAGAAATCTCACGCGGGGCAGGTGACGGGGACGCCCCTGGTGGCATCCCGCCCGGGCGATGGTCCGGCTCTGCAGACACTGTGGCCCAGGGACGTGCTAGAGCCACCGTGGGGTTGGTGGCCCGGACACCTCCTCGGGCTGACGCAGTGTTCGCTGGGCTCTGCCCTGGCGGGACCCCAGCTCGAGCGCGAGTCAACTGAGGGCCACGGGGTAGCACCCCAAAATTAGGGGTCTGGCCTGTCCCCTGGATCGGGTGGGGAACCGGGGGCAGACGGGTATATGGCAGATTAAGAGCAGAGAAGCCGACCAGACAGCAGGGAGGAGCAGCCTGCCGGCTTAACAGAGGCCGTCAGACCCACGCAATGCAAACGGAGCACCTGTTTTGTTACAGCTCGGCCACGTTTCTCTTTCATCTGACCTTCCATTTGTTCTCCAAGCTCCAGGCTCAGACCTGCTGCCCACCCCGCTCCCACTCCGTCAGGGCTGAGAGCTGCTTCTTCGCAAGGCCTGGCCTCGGGCCAGAAACTAGAAACCAGAAGGCACAAAGCCCTCTGTGGAGGTGAGGAGGCATTTCTCCGGAGCTGGCCCAGGCTCCTCAACTGCTCGGGAGCACAGACCCAGAGCTCTTGAATCTATCTCTGCACATGCTAGTGCGACAAGAGGAGAGGAGAGAAAGGGAAGCGAGCCCCGCTCCCTCTGGAGAACCGTCTCCCTCTGGAGACTGCCAGCGATGGGCTTCCTTCTGTTCCCTCTCCCGGGGAATCCTGGCAGCAACGGAGCATGGAGCACTCGGTGGTGGGGCAGAAGGGGCGGCTTCCCCTGGGACGGAGTCGGATCCCCAAGACACATTCCTGATGAGAGTCTCACAGCGACCATGCTCAAAGTCATGGCTTCCTGGGGGCCAAGGTGTTTGAGGAAATGAGAGGAATGACCTCGCCTTGTGCTGACGAGATGGCCACCTTAGCTGGCCCACAGCGAGAGGCACGAGCAGGCCCTCAGGAGGGAGCACAGGGGGCTCACCTGAGGCTTAGATAGCAGTTTCCGGTCTATCTAGGGGCTTGTTGCAATTATTATTTTAAGTTTAGTTATTTATCTTGAGGGAGGGGGGTGCATGCAAGCTGGGGAAGGGCAGAGAGGAGGAGACAGAGAGAATCCCAAGCAGGCTCCACACTGTCATTGCAGAGCCCGACGCGGGGCTCGATCTCGTGAACCGTGAGATCATGGCCGGAGCCAGAATCAAGAGTCGGACACTTAACTGACTGAGCCACCCGGGTGCCCCACCGCTGTCCCTCCCTATGGTCTCCTCTCAGAAGTCGCTTTCTGATAGCCTCTGCAAACACGCTCACTCCTGTCTGTGTTGCGGGCTGAGGGTACTGGCTTAGGAGGACACCCCATTGCCTCCCCCTGTCCTAGTCTGAGGCTAGAACACGAGGCCGGGGCCTCAGGCTCTGAAGACCCAGGGGGGCTTTATACCTTACTCCTGAAGAGGGGCTTGGCCCCAGGCCCACAGTACTCGTTGTAGATGAGCTTGAAGAGGAAGAGGTGGAAGAGGGTGATGAGGGAGGCCACGCTGAACCAGAAGAGGAAGGGCAGCCCGGGGTCCTGCTGGGCCATGTGCTCGTCGTGGGCCAAGATGGCCTTGAGGTGCAGCGTGTGGCGCAGGTCCTGCAGGTGCATGAGGTCGGTGGAGATATAGAGCAGCGGCGTGATGGGCTGCGTCACCATGACCGGGAAGGTGTGGCCCTGGGGCGCCGAGGTCAGCTCCACGGGCTCCTCCAGGCAGCCGGCCTCACAGGCGTAGATCCTGACGGGCTGGCCGCGGGCCTCCACGGACACGTGCAGGTACGGCTTGCCCTCGGGGTCCGCGAGCACGGCTAGGTCGATGTGGTCGTTCTTGTAGCGGATGCCGTGCAGGGCATAGCTGTTGTGCAGCACGTCGGGGTCGGCCTGGAACTGGAGGTGGTTCTCGGTGAACTGCAGCCCCCCGAAGCTCAGCACCATGCCCTGCAGGATGCCTGGGGCGCCCACCTTCACCAGCCCCTTGCAGCCGCGCTTCTGCAGGGTCAGCTTCCACAGGTCAGAGAGCTGCAGGATCTGCTGGACGGACGACAGCCGGCCCGGCCACAGGTTCTCGGCGTGCATGGTGGCGTGGCCGCTGAAGCAGTGATCTTCGTAGTTGAGCGTCGACTCCATCTGGTCGCGCTCCCTGTGGCTCAGGCTGGGGTTGAGCAGCGGGGCTGGTGAGCAGGAGAGCATGTAGTACAGCGTCAGGTTCACGGTCAGGCCAGACGGGGTGTGGGCGTCCGTGATCTTCTTCATCTCCACACCTGAAAGGCCACAAAGGTTGCACGTTAAGCGGGGACGGCCCGGCCGGGAAGATGAGGTTCTGAAGGGAAGAGCGGGAGCGACGGAAATGGCAGCTCCAGCCTCCCCTGAGCTCTGGCTCCCTCACGTGACCAACTTGACCCGGTGGGCCTGAAGCCTAAAATCCTGTTCAAGGTGGGGCCTCCTGGGGCGCCTGGGTGGCTCGGTCAGTTGGACGTCCAACTTCGGCTCGGGTCCCGATCTCAGGGTTCGTGAGTTCAGGCCCCGCATCAGGCACCACTGTCAGTGCATAGCCTGCTTTGGATCCGTAGTCCCAACCCCCCATTCCCACCCCTCCCCACTCGCACTCTCTCTCAAAAATAAATAAACATTAAATCCTATACATAGTAACATACATAACATAATAAACATAAATCCTGCCAGCGCCCAGAAGAACACAGACGTGGCCGGGACATGGTGCCGGTTGAAGAGTCCAGCACGCCCCCTGCCCCCCTGCCCTCTGCCTCCGAACACCGTCATCAGCGCTCTGGCCCATCCTGGGTTGCTCCTTGCCATCATCCTGTGCTCCAGTCCTGGAGCTTTAAATAACATCTGAACACCGGATCTCCCAAATCTGTATGAATTCTAGACTCAGAACAGCTAACTGCCCATTTGGGGTCTCCACCCAGACGCCTGACAGGCATTTGGGACCTGACGTGCTCTGAGTTCTTCCAGCCCCAAAGCAATCTTTCCACAAATTATCTCCAGACGCTTGCTCGAGCGCTCCCCACAAATTCAGGAGTCACCCTCCAGTCCTCACGCCCACGCCCAGTCCGTGCAAAGTCCCGGTGGCGCCACTTCTGAAAGTATCAGAAGCCATCCACTTCTGTCTCCACGGCCACAACTCAGGTGCCAGCCACCCTCCTCTTTCACCTCGGCTCCTGCAAAATCCTCTCATCTGGTCTCCATGTCCCACTTTTGTTCCTTATAGTCTATATTCTGGATAGAACAGCCAGGGGATCCTGAAAAATGTACATCCGACAGTTGTCTCTGCTCTCCCTTCCACCCCACGTACAATCAAATTCACAGTCGTCACCACAGTCTACAAGGCCCTTCGGGATCTGGCTACCTCGACCCCTCCCTGGCTTGCTACCCACCAGCCACCCTGGCCTCTCAACCAAACCTGCTCTTGTCTTAGGGCCTCTGACTTGCCAGCTCCCTCTAGATCATCACATGGTCAGTTTCTTGCTATTCAGGTCTTAGCTTAAGTGCTTCCTCCTTGGAAAGGCCTCCCCAACAACTGGAGCTAAACAGAGGCCCCCACCCCACTCTGAACCCCACCCAGTCATCCTCAATTACGTACTTTCAATTTTTCTCTACGGAACTTTAAAAATTTTTTTTTAAGTTTATTTTGAGAGAGAGAGATTGCACAAGCGCTATTGGAGACAGAGACAGAGAGAGAGAATCCCAAGGAGGCTCCTCACTGTCAGCACAGAGCCTGACACAAGAAATCAAGGGCTGGCTGGTTTAACTGACTGAGCCACCCAGGCGCCCCGCTCTATGGAACTTCGTATTCTAAAGAGCAATCTGGCTTATTTATTCAGACTTTCACTTTTCTACTATTGTCTTCCTCCCATCCAGAATTTAAGCAAGCACCACGAAACAGGCGCTTTGTTCTGGTCACTTCTCTATCCGTCGTATGGAGCACAGTCCCTGGCAGGATTCTATCAATACTTGCTGAACGAGTGAAACACTTTGAGCAACTAAATACAAGGATTTAGACAACGAGCACCCTGGAAACCAAAATCTCTCTTTCACCTAGAATAGGATTTCCTTTACTTCAACAGTCTTTAGGGGAAGGAAGTTTTTATTTGGTGGGTGCATTCCACCTGCTGGAGAGGTTCCATTCCCTTCCAGTCAATGGAGCACATGACCCCTGATCTCAGTTGTTGAGTTCAAGCCCCGCGAACCGCAGAGGTCACTTTAAAAAAAAAAGGCGGGGGGGGGGGCCTGGGTGGCTCAGTTGGTTAAACATCCCACTTGATTTCAGCTCATCATGACCTCATGGTTCATGAGTTTGAGCGCCACTGTGGGACTCCATGCTGACTGTGCAGAGCCTGCTTGGGATTCTCTCTCTGCCCCTCCCCTGCTCATATGCTCTCTCGATCTCTCTCTCAAAATACACTTTAAAAGGGTGGGGTGGGGGGGATGCCTGGGTGGTTGAGTCGGTTAAGCATCCGGCTTTGGATCAGGTCGTGATCTCACAGTCCGTGAGTTCGAGCCCTGCATTGGGCTCTCTGCTATCAGTGCAGAGATCCTCTGCAGACCCTCTCCGGCTTGCATTCTCTCTGCCTCTCTCAAAAATAAACAAACATGTAAAAAAAAAAAAAAAAAAAAAAAAGCGCATGCCTGTCACCAGCCAGACTGTGAGGGACTGAGGAAAGAATCTGGGGACCTGCCAGGCCCTTCTGACTGATTTACCCTTTACAAGCTGACCCCCAAAACCACTCTCCAAATCAGGCCTCATTTATGAGGACAAATAACAGTAAGGCCTGTCTTTTACGCTCATTCCTCCCTCAGACTCACAGAAGACCTCTGAGGTGCTCCTGTTATTACTGAACACAAGCCCACGGAGATCAGTAAACTGGTCCCACGTCGCTCGCACAAATACCAAGCGGTGGAGCAGAGTCAGCCCAGGTCAATGGCCAAGCTCCCTTTAACCACCCCCACTGCTCCCCTTCAGGGTCAACTCTGCAGACTTTAGTGGGGCATCTCCAGGGTGGGCTGCGGAGGCCCTGGTGTAAGGTGTGCACTGTGGCCCAAGAACTGGCCAGGCCTCACCTGGGCTGAAGAGCTGAGCCCAGAGGCGCTGGTGGTCTTGAAGCAGCTCAGCCGCTGGCATCTCCAAGAGCTCCAGCATTTCCTTCCGTGCCAAATCCTGGACCACCTTGAGCTCCTTGGCTGCTTTGTTTTTGAGCACCTGGGGGTTAATAGGGCCTGAAACATGCACCACCCACAACACTGTCTCGTCCAGTTGTGTCTTGGGAGCCACCTGGAGCCGGTTCACTAGCTTCTTGGCCGCCACCACCACCAGGTGCACCAGCCCCGTGGGAAAAGGCGGGGACCGGCCCGAGTAGAGGAGGAACTGATGATCTCCCACCTTCTCCAGGGTACTGGTGAAGGCTCTGGGGACCGGGCCGGCAGTGGGCCCCACGGTCTGCAGCGCGGCCACCCTCTCCGTGGGATTGTTGAGCTGGATACGCTGCAGATAGACGTGGGGTCGGCCCCGGTGCGCCAGAAAGTCCTCTTGCAGCAGCACGCAGTCGCGGCCGGATCCGGTGACGAGGCCGGAGGCCGAAGCGGGTCCGGGGGCGGCGGCTGCAGGGCCGGGGCCTGAGGTCCCGAGCTGCAGGCAACGCACTCGGCGCAGCAGCCCTTCACGCAGCAACAGTACTGACTCTCCGGCTTCGGAGAGCGCACTCAGCGGTCGCAGCTGCACGAAGGGCACGAAGTCCGGTGCCACGGCGGGCTCTCGCTCTCCAGGAGTCACCCACAGCCGGTTGGCGGCCACGTCCAGTGCCAGGAAGCCGTTGGCCACCAGGGCCGGCACTCCAGGGCCCAGTGGGACAGCCTCGCCGCGCTCCCGCAGGCCGCGCCAGGCGCGGGTGGCCGCCTCCAGGCAGGCGGAGGACTCGGCGGCGCCCGGTTCGCCGCGGGACCAGGGCAGCAGGTGCAGGCCGCCCGCGGCCCGCCGCGCCCCGGAGCCGGCGAACCACAGAAGCAGCAGCA